CGCTCCCATTTCGAGAACCTTTCAAACTACAGCAGCTGACTTCCGACGACATTCTGATGGAGGTGTACCGGACGAAGTTCATCCTCTGTTTCCACCTCCTTCGTTGTTTGCTGGGGCCATAGATCCGGGTGTTGATAGAGGAACGATGGCGCATGGAACCAGCGACTGTCGGAGGCGATATTTGGACCTTTGCCCCACTTTGAAGCCTCGTCGGCAATGTTCAAACGGGTTGGCACCCAACGCCACTCGTCGACCTGCGTTAAATCGTGGATATCCGTCAGCCTGAAAACAACGAATTGTCGATACTTTCTAGGATCAGATTTCAACCACACTGAGATTATTAATCAAACGAATTTCATAGAAACATCGCATGATTTTTTGCGACAAGATTTTATGTTGAATTTTAACGACCGAACCTTGAAGAACTGTCAGTTTTTTGTTAATCAGCCATCGTATGATTTTTCATGCATATAACTATGAATCTCAATATAAACGAACGATAGCTATCATTGAATATTACGAAAAATTTCATTTGTCATTTCGTATGAAACCCATAAAGGATATGAATGAAAAAATATAGTTTGAGTTGATTAATTATTATATTAGTGATGGTGACGACTAGTACTTGAGTGATTTGCTTAGTTTAACGGCTTTCTAAGTCTTAATCTCACGCTAACGACAACGATTTAATCTGCCCGACGTTTCGGCCATGGATCATGAACTAAAACCGAAGCGTCGGGTAGATTAAATCGTAGTCTTTAGAGTGAGATTAAGACTGAGAAAGCCGTTAAACCAAGCAATTATTTATTATATTTATTATATTAGTTCTGATGCAATCCGTGTGGGTTTTAGATTGGCAGGTACAACTGCGGAAACTGGGGGAAGTTCCTCGAAACCCTTCAAATTTGTCGTTGCATTAATCTTCGTCGCAGTCGGGGATGTTACTCGATCAGCCGCTGCAGCTACTCTGTCTGTTGAGGCAGCTGTGTTGGCTGGTGAATCTGTTGAACCCCCGGAAACGTTCACTGTGATTCGCACATAATTGTACTCGTGTCCGATTCCTGTTCAAAAAAATGTTACTGTTGTATTAAATTATCAAAACAAAAACAAAAAATAAATATGACACTTACCCGATCCGGTTGTCTCTTCTGACGTGCTGTTGAAATCGATAAAGCAGAAGCAGCAGCAGCATGCTTAACTGTCTACAAATGTAAATAAAGTTGTAAACTACAAAGAAACAATACGAATTAAATTTACTTACAGGTTTACGGAGTCTTGCGTCACGTCTTGAAGCTGGATCCGCCATCTTGTGTTTTGTTGTTGTTTTGATTTGTACTGTCTAAATAAATTACATACGATCATCGTATGATAATTTGCCAAAATAATTTATACGACGTGTTTATGAAATTTTTATGTTTTTCGTATACCTTTTGTTGTATCAAATTATGAATACTATAGATGGAGTATGAAAACATAAGATAATTATGAAATTGATTCAGGCTTGTATTTGCATGCATTCATACGATGTAGTTTATGAAATTTGTAGGGATAATTATCTCAGTGCAGGAAAGAAAGGTGCGAGAATCACTCCAGAACACTTTTCGGTTGATTGGAATTGTATGGTTCTCAATTACGGACTTTGACAACCTTGCACCAAGAACGGCTGCTGATAGTTCTAGTCTCGAAATAGACAAGAGTTTCAAACCTTCGTTTTCACCGACACTAGGGAGCAACGAACTCTGGATCCTTCGACGATTCGAAAATATGCAACAGCCGTAAATGCTTCTTCAGATGCGTCCCGCAAAACTTCTCTTTTCGTCGGGACCGTGTCATCCAGTAAAAAAGCTTGTATTTCATCCCTAAACACACCTTGAAAGACGAAGACATCCGGTTCTGGCTTCCAGATCATGCCAAGAACGCGTTCGTAGGCAGCCGACCTGTCGACGAGAAGTTTTTTCTGCGACTCCGCTTGCTGTTCCCCGACCCGTATTAGAACCTCACACGAGTTTGACAGCCAATTTCTAATGTTGAAACCTGCCTTGGAGTGTACCAGCTTTACCTGCTCTGCCAGATCAACAGCTTCCTGCTCTGTGTGTACGCTACACAGGAAATCATCCATCATAATGATGATTCGTGATCGCTTCCGCCGCTCGTGGAAACTGTTCGGAAAATTCCTCAGCATTCCGATTTTTAATAAACTGTGCTGCAGAAGGCGAACATGTTGAGCCGAATGTGGCTACGTCCATCACAAACACATCGAAAGGCTTAGATGGATCGTCCCGCCACAAGAACAGCTGAGCAGATCGGTCTTCTGGTCGGATGAGAAACTGGTGAAACATCTCGCAGATATCTGCGCTGACGGCCACCTCGAACTGGCGAAATGAACTCAAAACTGCTGTGAGCGGTATGAGAAAATCCGGGCCAGCGAGAAGAGCAGAATTCAACGATTGTCCCTGGACTTTAGCTGCCGCATCCCATACTAATCGTACTTTGTTTGGCTTTCTCGGATTCGTAACGACGTTCAACGGCAGGAACCAGGTCCGTTTGGGATCGAAACTGGCTAACTCCTCTTTGCTCATCTTATGAATGTACCCTTTGGCTTGGTCCTCGATGATCTGGGTCTTCAAATTTTGATATAATTCGGGCTTCGATGCTAGACGACGTTCGAGACAGCGGAATCTCTTTTCCGCCATGGGTCTGCTGTTCGGGAACTCTACGTTATCGTGTTTCCACAGCACAGTAAGCTGTGTGTTTGGGACCTTCCTGACGATGTCCTTACAGTTGTGCTGTCGAGAATTTTTCTGGCACGTCGATCGTCGTCGCTCTCCATCGTTGAAGACACAGCTCCCACACTTTCCAACGCAAAAAAATCTTCACTAGATCATGGAGCTCTTGATTGGATGAACGAACGGAAATATGGAAGAGCTGATGGATTGATCGTTCTTCTCCAGCGGATGTGCTCCCGTATACCACCCAACCTAGCTTGGTTTTTGCAGCCATTGGGCTTCCTCTGACTCCTTCTCTGCTTTTCCGTGTTGCCATCACGAAAGAGTTATCCAAACCAATCAAAATTGTAGGGAAAGCATCGGCTTAGCTTTGTACTGGTAGCCCTTGAAGATGCGGAAACTCATTGCAAAGTTCACTCAAGTCCAAAGATTGAACAGGAAGGTTCAGACTCTTGTCAGTGTGCACTTCCTTCAAATCGTGCCGCGTAGCGTTAGCTTCACTCGATATCTGCAACTTTATCAGCTGTGACTCGTCCTCCACGCGTTCGATGCCACTTGTCCACTGCAGGCAGAGTGGGTGCACCTCGCCGGTCACTCCGAGTTCTTTGGCGACCTTCGATTCCACCAACGTCCTAGAAGATCCATCATCGAGAAAGGCATACGTTTGGATGGTTCTGCCATTCCCATGCAGCAATACGGGAATAATCCGGAACAAAGCCGTTTGCTTGAACTGACGATGAACGGTTACTGTGCTTGTAGTCTTCGGAGGGTCAGTCGATCGGGGTAATTGTGAATTTCCGGGGTGAAGAAGCTTGTGATGGCGCTCCTCACAGCCGCTCTCTCCACAGTTGCTGGCTTTAAACGGAAATTTTCCATGAGAACCCAGGCAGCGACGACACAAGAATCGCTCCTGAACGAGCTTCCAGCGATCACCGAGAGCCATCTTGCGGAACGCATGACAATCCTTTATTTTGTTGGCGTCTTTCTGGCAGGCTGCACATGGCTTAGGCTTGTTCCACCTACGTTCGATAGTAGGGACATTCTCTACTTTGTTCTCCTATGCAGCATGCGTGTTCACGTACATCTTCTCCTTCGTCTTCGGTTTCTCCTGCTTGTTACGATGTTCATCCGCTTCGTTCTGGAAATTCACCTCACTAGCGGCCGTCACGATCTGGTCCATGTAGTCCATATAGCTGGACGGCCATACAGTGTTTTCAAAGTGTCGATGATCAACGGTACAGACGACGGATGCATCAGATGACTTCGAACCGCTTCCAACGCATTTCCCTTAAGACATCGCTGCAGTCGCATGAGGTTTTCGCCACCCGAGTCGACTGTCGGAATCGAGTGAGAAGAGTCATGTGACTGCGAGGTGACAAATGTCGTCTCACCTCATTCGCCACGCAGAATAACCCTCCTGTCCAAATTTGTTGGAAGTGTTTGATATATTTGATTCCTTGTATCTTTCCAGAAAGCTTCCGCTTCATCAGAACCCAATATCTCTCGATTGGACGTAGCTCTGGACAATTTGGCGGATTTGTGGTTTTTGATACAATATTCACTTGATTTGTTTCGTACCACTTCATCACAGTTTTAGCATAATGGCTTTCTTTGTGGCTTTTGATGAAGGGTAAAAATCGCTTCTGCAGGCACTGTTGATTGTGTCTGTAGTGATGAAAGATTTACTCTCTCGGTCACACGTGCAAATTGCTTGCCAAATAAGGTATTTTATGTGAAATTTCGATACCTTCTTTATCCTGAAATACTCAGCTGTAGCATTGTTGGCCATAGCAGAATATAAAGCCAGTCGTGGAAGCTGCTTGAAATCCTCCAGGATATAAGTTTCATCGTCCATAACAATGCATGAAAACTTCATCAAATATTCGCAGTACAAACGTCGAGCCCTTGATTTTGCTGTCAAATTCTGTTTGCCTCGAATCACGGAAGGAATAAAAAAAAACACGTTGTTTACTGTTTGCAAGACCCGAACACGAATGAGGTTCTTCGTCGATGATGTTGTCGCCGCACGAGGGGCTCAACACGTTGTACATGTAGATGACGTTGCGTGGTTAACAAGGTGAGAACGGTTAGAGCGGAATCGAAAGCGAACTATGATATCGACGAAATTTAAATCACTCGAGTGTAAATGGAGAAAAATTTCGCAATAAATACTGTGATTTTTGTTTTCATCAAATGACTAGTAGTTTTATTCAATACATGTTTCATGTAAAAAAAAATTCATAAGATGTATTATGAAATCACTTTTTATCTATAATAGGAACCGCACAATTTCAGTTCTTATGGCACTTTCGAAAATCGTCAACTGGAACAATTATATACTATGTTTTACTCTCGACATCATCTGGAACGTAGCTCTTGACATTCGATATTCCGCTGTGAACATACTTTGGCAACTTGATGTTGATCATTGGTCTTCGACCATTTTTAGGAGCTACGCTACTCGGGGTGTCCGGGCTGCTCCTCGCCGACGTGCTAATCTCTTCGGTACTGGTCTTTGGTTCTGAAAACGATTCAACATATGCATCAGAATTGCCTCAAAAGGGCAACGCTTTATATCTTACTTTTCCTGTTATTCCTGGTCATGTACTCCAGACATGCGTGGTACAGAAAGGCATACTGCTCACTGGTTTGTACCATCTTGACACGCTGCGTTCGCAGCTGCTTAACCGTATCGTAGATGTTGATCTTCTTCTCCTGCTGTATCCGCTGCAGAATGATGTCCAGCGCAATTAGCGTCCCCGTGCGACCAACTCCGGTGCTGTTCAGATTTATAAATTCAACCAATTACACCGAAACCTATTAGTACTAGTACAACAAACCTGCAGTGGACGACAACGGGTAGTGCCAGGTTCTTCCGCTCCGAGCGAATTATTTTGATGAATTTTATCAAATCCGATGAACTCGATGGGCAACCGTGGTCCGGCCATGTTAGGAAGTGATAATGGAACACTACTTTGCTCATGTTATCCTGCGAGAAAAAAAAGTTAATAACAAAAAACGTAACGAAGAAGTTTAAAAATGTTTCAAACATACCCTCGTCACCAAAAACAACCGCTTCTGGTAGAAGCCCATATTGAGCTCCTGAGTGCACTTGACCGAAACTTCCCAAAAGTACAAGGTTTGATTGAACCGCGGAAAGTACTGATAGCACTTGATCCTATCGTTCTCCACCGTCTGCGTTAACATCACGATCGATTCCACCTCGAACTGGAGAATCATCCGCCAAAAGTCGAAGCAGGTTTCTTTCTTCGGACCCTGCGTGGCAATGTACTCCCGCTGGTACTTGTAGCCATCGATGAACAAAGCGTTGATGTAGTCGTTGGATTCCTCATCTTCCTCGACAAAGATGTCGTCAACGTCCAACGGAACTCGATTACCGTCGTACGGGAAAATGCCCAGATAAGGGTTTTTCCTTTCGTTCTCCTTGGCAACGAAGAAGGTAACCTTTTCGTTGATCAGCTGCTCCAAGAAGAAGTTAATTGCCTGGTATTCCTTGTTGATTTTTTCCCTATTCGACTGAATGAGCTCTTCATAGATTCCGGAGAAACTCTTCAGTGGGATATCGGCGGGTTCCTCGTTCGGTGAGCGAACTGCCGTAAGTGGTGACACTGTCAGCTTCTGAGTACGCCAGAGGATTACCAGCCCCAGTGCAAACGCCAGCAATAGGCACACAAAGATCGACGTTACGATCACGGTTAATTGAATGAGTGAATCCGTTTGGAAAAATTGGATTGTAGAGTCACTGTACCCACTATTGGTGAAAATCCTAACTATCAACGCATATTCCGTTCCGGGCTTCAAAGCCCCATTGCAATATTCCTGGTCTTCCTCGCAATGGTCTTTACCAATTATGTACTCTACCTCTGCAGTTTGTCTACCAGCACGTTTTCTAGTTTCTATAGGATTCCACTGCTTGGGGGTCGTCTGATACTGCGGAATACAGGGCATTTGGGCAGCAACTTTCCACGAGAGGACGTCCGGCCATTCAATCGATAGGTTCCTTTTTGGAACCGGGTCCGCTTGACAGTGACGTTCGGAAACAAGAAGAGCTACGTTCGTAATACTGCCAACGTTGGATTGGAAGATAAAATCTGAAATCCAAATCCTGGCTGTTCTCGTCGGATTCGGTGCGTTCATCACGTTAACTGTTCCCCAGTTGATTTCGTTTGTAATGTTTGGTACTGGAAAATAAATGATCGTGTTTAGTAAGTATCTATAAGACTTATGCGAGAAATTATATTCAACTTACTCCCAGCCGGTGACAGAAAACTCAAAAACTTGGCATTACTATGATTACCGACGTCTTCTACAAATACCATGATCGAGACGTTGTATTGAAGCTCTGGCTCCAGGCGCTCTTCCGTTAGACTATACGTTTCCAAGATTTCGTCGCTCGGGTCGATGGTTCTAGTCCAACCAAAAGTGTGCTCGAACGCACCTTTGTAGCCAATGAACTGTCCCGAGAAGCTACGCAATCGCCCATGCAGATGACACGGTATCTTCCACGAGATGTGAACCGTCGAATTGTATGGCTTGTCAATCTCCGGAAGAGTGACGTTGTACTCCGAGAACTCATACACCGGATCGGGCTCTGCAAAGAGAGCGTTATTAAGAAAAAAGTTTCCCCATAAATTAAACAACTCTTACGCTCCGGAAGTGTCGCCACGGACACCATCTCAGTGTACGGGCCCAATCCGGCTTTGGTGGCCGCCGCCACCTGAACCACGTAATCAGTGTATGGGTTCAGGTAACTAATATTATGGTCCAGCTCGTCAACGTCCCAGTTCTTCATCTTTGCGTTCTCGTCGTCTTCGTGCAGATCGAAAGTGGAATTGTACGGATCTGGTAGAGGACAATAGCTGGGTGTGGGGTATCGCGCATCTTCCGACCGAATGTGAACTCGATAACGAGAGATGATTCCATTCTTAACCTTCGGCGCCTTCCAGCTCAGTTCGATCATTCGGACATCCCCCCTTAGTTGAAGATTTTGTGGTTGCTCTGGAACTAGATTGATTAATTGAACAAGACTTACTTCGAATTTCTTCCTTAACTTCTACCTACAATCTTCACCGGTCATGAAGGGGGCCAGAGCCGTTTCGTCGGACCATCCAGCAGTGTTCAGGATCGCTGCGGTGCAATTGTACTCGTTGTAGGGTTGCAACGGGGTAACGACAGCAGAGAAAGTAGCATTGAGGTCCGTGATTTTAGCTTCACCGGTGATCTTAGCAATAACAAAGATAATTAGATATGTGTGATAGTTGATTCAGTGTTCTACATACCACTTTGGGATCCTCTCCCTCAGGGACGATGCTTGTTGTGCAGGTGAAGCGTACCGCATGCAAATCGCAATTGTTGGTGTTATCGCTCGTTAAAGCAGTTTGCAGTTCTAGACTCTGTGCCATCTGGGTCTTGATTCGAACCGGATCGATGTGGTATCTTAGGATGACTAAGGAGAACAAAACACACACTATTTCAATGCAATAACACTCACTTCGAGAACTACCTACCTCTCTCTTTGGTCACAATATCCGCGATTTCATTGTTGCCGTCGTTGTTTCCTTTAGAAACAGGAATAACCTGCACATAGTACTTGGTGCAAGCGAACACCTCCACAAAGGTGATATGGATATCGGTGGTTGAATTGGAAATCTGCTCCGGAAGATCACCTCCTCCGGAAACCCACGCCACGTACCGATAGGATGCCACACAGTGCGTCCCATTCGCCGGAGGTTTCCACCTAGCTATCAGCGATCGTGGATCCAGTTCAGTTAGTTCCAAATCCTGAACTGCGCTCAGCTTTTCCTCCTTGACAGTTGCATTGGTGACTACACTTGCTGCATCCTCGCCGGAGAAATCCACCGTAGCTATCGTGAAGTTGTACTCCATACAAGAGTACAGGTTCTGTATCGTGATGGAGGTTTCGTTGGTTGTAACGTTTCGATCATCGTAGGAAATTCGATACGAGCTAACGCAATTCGGGAAGAGTTCTGGCTTCATCCAAGATATGGTAACTTGACGTTCGACGCTTGTATTGATGGTAACATCAAGTACTGGTCCTGGCTTTGGTGGAGGAGTTGTTATTTCGTACGGATATCCCAGCCGCCCGCTTAGCGATACGGGAGTTACGCTGTACTTGAGCAGTGCGCAAGGAGTGTCAGAATTTTGACGAAAATGGTAGGTGAACGGTTCGGATTTGCGACCTTTTGACTTCCCGGAAATGGTTGTATTTACTATCAGCCTGTTGTCAGTTGTTCTCAGAATCACTTGAAATTCTTTTATGCAACTGTAGCTCTGAGGAGGGGAATTCCATTGTATTTGGTCATGGTGAGACTTAACTTGTTGAACCCGGGGAATACGTTCTTCGGGCATTGATACGGAAGCCATAGCTAACGAGTGATTCATGCCATACCGGTTTACTGGTACTACAACAAAGCTATAGTTTGTGCAAGGAATCATATCGTCAATTATTATGCTTGAAAAATGTGAGGTCCAGCGATTGTTAGGGAAATTACGCTTATAAATTGAATAGTATGCGACGCAATGCGAATACTGTTCTGGAGGATCCCAGGTAATGTTGATCGCTCTAGAAGAAAGCGGATGAATGTGCAAATTTTGAACTGAAGCCCTGGATGATAGATTTAGCGTCGATGTCATCCATCGTGAAATACGTTCAGATTTTGGTGTGATGCTGATCGATTTCAACGAGCAAATACTGGTTGCATTGAGTCGATGTGGAGAAGTATTAATCTCATGCTTGTTTATATGATCACTATGCTGTTCTTCAATGAGATACGACTCAATACAGTAAGCCATTCCCTTCGGTGGGCTCCACTCAATCCAAGCGGACTGTGACACATTTACCATCAAACGTAATTCAACCACACTACCTCCCTCTACTTCCAAAATAGTGGTATTTCTATCCACTTGTGACCTAGGTGTCCCATTTAGATCGATAACTTCGAAGGTAAAAGTGTACAATCGACAAGCATCTAGATTTTTAAACGTGGCTCTACTCGGCAACGTTGAGGTTTTTTTATGCCTCGTTATTGTAATGGTTTTAGTTCCGTCAGAAACTCTGATTTCCTTCACACATTTGCCAAATAATTCAGGCACATCCCAATAATAATGAGTAAAATTAATTGAAGAATCTTTTAGATGTGGATCAATGGATAAAGCAACCTCCGAATATTCCGTCACCGGTATTCCTTCAAAATAATCGTTAAAGATGGGAGTGATTGTAACATATTTCGGAAAGCATATTATCCGGGGATCCTGCAGTGTTAAACTAAAGTTTCCATCAGTGTCCTGAGCATTTGGGACAACGAAGAAAGTTTTATTATGTTGATTCTTCGTTGAAACATGCAGATCGATCCGAAACTCCTTTATACACAGCAGTTCTTCTACTGGGTATGACCAGTGTATTACATCAGGAGAAATGCTCACTAATTTGATCTGCCGCCTTTTCTTTTCTATCACCTTATTTACAATGTGACCAGTTTTGCATCTGACTTCCACTGTGTACTTGCAGTGACAACATCGCTTCAACCCCGATATGACTTTCGATTCTCCGGGTTTCACCGGCAGATTTGCTTCAAATCCAAGGCCAACAATGGTAACATTTTCAACATATATATCGTACTCCCGAGCAAATTCCACGCATAGATGAGTTACCGATTTTGATGAATAACTAACACTTACGTAGATTAAGCCGACATTATTTTTATTCTGTTTAGAAGGCAGAAAGTTGTCGCAAACATTCCCAGGTCCCAGGCTCAATGGATACCATTCGAATTTTGAGAGATCCTCGGATATTTGGGAATTGTTTTCATTGCTTTCGGAGACGGGATCAGTTCCATCCGCTTCAGTAATGAGCTCCAAGCACCATTTTCTAGTGGTATCGTTTTGATCATGAGATAATCTTTCTTTTTCCGGGGGACTTACGACCGCGATTGGTGTATCCCCAGGAACTGATGAACTCTGCTGAATGCCAGGGCCAGTCGTATAATCTGAAATAAAACATATGAATATACATTATTAAGCGTTCGCACTCAACAACAGATCCCCTGGAGCGTCCCGTTGACCAATTGACCAAAATGGCCGATTAATTCTGGCCATTTTCATAGTCGTTTTAAAGCAATCTTTGCAAGAAATTGCAAGCACATTCAACAGGACGTTGACTACCTGTAAAATCAGGGAATATCGGGGAATTCATTTTTGGACCTGAAATATTTCTTAATCACAGAAATAAAATAATAACTTTGACTGACTTCGCTGGTTTAGACGTCTACCCGAATAGAAATTGTAATGTAGAAAACATCAGCAGACATCTTCAATACATTAAATTTTAACGTGTATTGCTGTACCCTTAATGTATTCAGACTTCAGTGTGACGTCCAAGTACATAAAAATACATTAGCCTCAAACGTTACATCAGAATCAGACGTCTTGACGATGTAAAATTTGACATCAGAATACATCCAATGACAACAGAACCTAACGTTACATTAGAATCAAAATTCATCACGATGTAATTTGTTGCACGCATAAAACATCAGAATACATCCAATGACAACAGAACCTAACGTTACATTAGAATCAAACTTCATCACGATGTAATTTGTTGCACGCATAAAACATCAGAATACATCCTATGACACAACAATAATGGCGGTAAGCTCCAACTCGGATTAACTTTTAATACCGTCCCTGTTTGTATGATCTGAAAAATGTTTGCTCAGAATTATGTTGATTAACTCTGATGTCGACATCAAACCAGCCGGACATTCTTGATCGGGATTTAATCCGAGGATAATACCGGTTGGAGCTTACCACCATAAAAAGAGGCTTGCAGTGCAGTGATGCCTCCTATGCATAGTTTTGTGACATTATTAATTGCAAATAAAATTGAACTCTTTAGAAGAGTGGAGACGCTAATAAAAGTGCACTTAGACGTTGTATCGTCTTGACGCCTTCTGCGCACTTATTATTCATTCACCAAGGAATAAGTGCGATGAAGACACAACAACAATTTAACGTAAAACCGCACTTTTATTAGTGTTTCCGTGCCCAATGCGCAATTCTCGGCGCAATCATATAAAATAGCACATTGCGATTACAAGGTAGAGCTTACCATCATTAACTCTTACACGACTGACATAGCCTCAAATCACTGAAGGAAATTGTGGCATGCCCTGTGGTCAATGTTTATTTGTATGTAAAACAAATGCCCTGGTGACGTTACAGTGCAAGAGTTAATTAGTGTTTTAATTGATTATTATCGTTTCAATTGAAACCCGATTTTACTCTTGTTCTATACGTTAAACATAACGTCGGCCATAGAGATTGCTAAAGTATGATTGTGTCAGTGATTTGTTTTCATCGGGAAAATTTTCTGCTATGAAGTTTTTTTTCCCGATGAAAACATTTTGCGTATACGTATACGTGACGTAGTGTGCGTACGATAAACGTCAGCAATCTCTATAGTGTGCTGTATACCGCATCAGTGTACGAATACAGCACACTATGTCCGACGTTATGTTTAACGTATACAGAACGTTTTCAACGAGGTTTTCATTTGAAACGATAATATTAATTCCAAGGCAAACGAAGAAAACCATCTGGCCACCCTGCATGGGCCGGCGCAGCCTGCATGCATATGCATTCCTCGGTACATTCTATGCGCTCGAGTATTGATGGTCCGAATGTGAGGATAACAATAACAAACCAGCATATCTGGCTGAAGCGAAAGTGAGGATAACAAACTTCGCACTTGAAAATGGGATTGCGCAAGTGTGCGTGTTATGAACGACAGAAAGGTCATTGTCGTTCTCATTTTTGAAGTAAAGCTCTATACATCGCTGCTGCATTAGCGTATACCAAAATTATTCAGGGTGTAGGTGTCAGATCGACGTTCCATTACAAACAACTGATGTTGACCTGTCAATAATTCGCGTTATTTGGCGTTTATTAGCTGAATCGCAAAAAGAAAACTAGAGTCCCTGAGGCCCTTCACGGTGTTTCGCAAAAACCCATTAATGGGTATAAAAACACCCATTTCCGCTAAAAGTGCCCCTCTTCATTTAATGGGTAAACTATGGTTTACTCATTAATGGGTAAAAGGGGGATCTGTCAATAAATGGGTGTTTTTTACCCATCTTCTTAAATTGTGTTTTTCGTAAAATGGGTAAAAAAAATACCCATTGCTTCAAATGGAGGATGCTGGTGCTGGGTTATTTGTCCTCGTTGATATAAAAAACTTTCAAATATTTACATTGAAAATAAATGCAGTTGTAGCGAAAAAAAAATATTACACGAGATATTACAATACCATATTGGATAAAACTGAATAGACTTATCCGTAAGCCTCTCCAATGTTTCGGAATCTAATCTTTTCCGGAGATCATCCATTTTTGCTAAAAAAAAAGCGGACAGAAACTGTTTGCATTCCTTAATGGTCGGTGACGGAATGAGACGATAAAATTTCGAAGTGTTTTTTCACCCATTAGTGGGTAAAAAATATACCCATTATGCAATCGTGAACTGATTCATAAAATGGGTATTTTTTCACCCATTTTATGATTTCCAAATTCCCCCATTTTTTGACAGCTGCATACATGGTTTGAAAATGGGTATTTTTTTTACCCATAAATGGGTTTTCAAGAAACACCGTGTTGCGCATGCAAAGTTTGTTTTGTCCGAGTCAGCACTACACGGCAAATGAGAACACCCAAATTTGAGTTTAGTTCACTCATAAATCGTAAAAAGTACAGGAACTCAGTTTTGAGTTAATTTCCCTCTGTTTTTCCAGGTTTTCCAGGTTTTTCCAGGAAAATTTTTCCGAAAATAAGAAAAGTAAAGATTGGATTCTGTGAATTTTCGTCAATCCTAATTTTCTGGAAGATTTTTGAGGTTTTCCACAGGAAAACATGAGGCAAATCTCGAGGCAAATTTACTCATCGTTGCGTTCCTGCACTTTTTTTTTGATTTTGAGTACACTGTATTCAAATTTGCGTCGATCACATTGGCCGTGTTTTCGCGGTGTGTGTTGTTTTGGCAAATTAGTCCGGGAAAGTGGTGGTAAATCAGCAAGGCTGTTTTTCAGGTAAGTAAATGTGAATTAATGTACCTATTTAATGTAATTAAGTTTTTTTTTTTTTAGAAAAGTGCACCAGTCCGAAGCCGGATCCCGGTACACAGCAAAAAAAAAATGTAATATCGATCAACGTAATTCAAGCTGATGCATGAAATAATCATGTAATAGCAAAACGCAGATACAATATTACATCAATGGATGTAATTTTGTTCGCAAAATCGATGTACATCGTACAATGTGATTTTACACAACCGATGGATTGACCTGGTTGCAGCAGTTTCGATGTAATATTCAACAACTTTTTTTGCTGTGTAGGAAGTCCGACGCTGGAACCCGGCGGGGAGTACGAAGCCGGATCTCTGCAGGTTAGTGCATGTGTTTTTTTATGGATGAATAAATAAATAAATCCGGAGAACTTTGAGATTAGGGCGTAATTGCTTTTGTAAACAAACACGTCAATCGCCAATTTCTCGCCAATTAAAGCTCAATCTAAAAAATTAACGGCACAAACAGGTAGAGAAATGATTCCTTTATCATTTAGTATGGTTTGTTCGCGACAATAAGTTTCAATTTACGATTAATCGGCGATAGACGTGTTTGTTTACAAAAGCAATTACGTCCAAATCTCAAAGTTCTCCGGAAATACTAAATACTAAGTGGAAGTGGACCCCGTTGGAAATCCGATGACGGATCCCAATGATGGGTTCCGTAATCGGATCCCGATAACGGGTTCCGTAGACGGATCCCGATGACGGGTTCAATAGACAGATCCCGATGGAGAAACCGAATACGGATCCCGATGGGGAAACCGAATACGAGTCCGGATTGGGATTCCGTAAAAGGATCTCGATGGGAAAACCGAATACGGATCCCGATGGGGAAACCGAATACGGATCCCGATGGGGAAACCGAATACGGATCCCGATGGGGAAACCGAATACGGATCCCGATGGGGAAACCGAATAAGGATCCCGATGAGGAAACCGAATACGAATCCCGATGGGGAAACCGAATACGGGTCTTGATGGGGAAACCGAATACGGATCCCGATTGGGAAACCGAATAAGGATCCCGATGGGGAAACCGAATACGAATCCCGATGGGGAAACCGAATACGGGTCTTGATGGGGATTCCGTAGACGGATCCCGATGGGGAAACCGAATACGAATTCCAATGGGGAACCCGAATACGGATCCCGATGGGGAAACCGAATACGGGTCTTGATGGGGATTTCATAGACGGATCCCGATGGGGAAACCGAATACGAATCCCGATGGGGAAACCGAATACGGATCTCGATGGGGAAACCGAATAAGGATCCCGATGGGGAAACCGAATACGAATCCCGATGGGGAAACCGAATACGGATCTCGATGGGGAAACCGAATACGGGTCCCAATGGGGAAATCCAATACGAGTCCGGATTGGGTTTCCGTAAAAGGATCTCGATGGGAAAACCAAATACGGATCCCGATGGGGAAACCGAATACGGATCCCAATGGGGAAACCGAATACGAATCCCGATGGGGAAACCGAATACGGGTCTTGATGGGGAAACCGAATACGGATCCCGATTGGGAAACCGAATAAGGATCCCGATGGGGAAATCGAATACGAATCCCGATGGGGAAACCGAATACGGGTCTTGATGGGGATTCCGTAGACGGATCCCGATGGGGAAACCGAATACGAATTCCAATGAGGAACCCGAATACGGATCCCGATGGGGAAACCGAATACGGGTCTTGATGGGGATTTCATAGACGGATCCTGATGGGGAAACCGAATACGAATCCCGATGGGGAAACCGAATACGGATCTCGATGGGGAAACCGAATACGGGTCCCAATGGGGAAATCCAATACGAGTCCGGATTGGGGAACCGAATACGAATCCCGATGGGGAAACCGAAT